TCTGAAAAATGGTTTTGCATGCTGTAAGGACATGAGAATAGGAGAAAAATCAAAACAAAACAAAACACCTACTCTGAAGTGAGCCTAGGAAAAGAGAAATTGCTTGGAAACCAATGGCCGCAACAGATAAAAGGTAGGTAACCAGTGAGTGAGCAGTGTGCTCTTGCAAAGCTATTGCTTTTTGCTCACTCTCAAAAGATCCTGTCTTTGTCAATCACCTCTTCCTGAAGCCAAAAAAGGGAAGTGGAGGAAGAGGATTTGAAATGGAAAATTCCTCCTCCTATAGCTCATTACATTCATTGTAGAAAGACTGTTCTTGTTAAAGCTTCCATGGACAGTACCTGAAATTATGTCACCCAGTTAACAAGGCCTGTGTAAAAAATTAAAGACTGCTGATGAAACGAGAAAAACCTTGCCTTATTCAAATCTCAGTCAGCCTCAAGAGATTCTCTATGGCAACACAGGGTCACCTTTGCTAAGTTTCTGTATTGTTTGCCTCTTATTTTGGATTTCCTGGTCTCCTGCAGTTGAACCTAATTCTATATAATATAGTGCTGTAGTGTTGTCTTACTTTATTTCAGTTACTAGCAGATAAGTGGGAATGAATCAGGAATTAGCTATAAACTTAATTTTTTATTTATTTTAATATTTTAATTTTTATTTAATTTGGCTATAAACTTAAGTTTTTCCTACTACCTACATAGAATACCTAATGCTTACTGGACTAAGAGTATCAAAAACAATGTTTAAAACCACATTTGTTTTCGGGGTGTGCCTAGCCAACTCAGTCCGTTAAGCATCTGGGCCACCTAAGGTGCTGAAAATTTCTTAGAATATAGGCACTAGGTCTTAGGAACATGACATCTCCCACTGTACTGTGCATTCTAAGTAACAACTGCTAAACAGTTTTAAAGAATGATACTGGGGTGTCTCTGCCTGTGCTAAAGACTGAAATGAGATTTACAATACAGGACTTTTTAAGGACATTTTATCAAAGTTGCCTGGGGATGAAAATGTTAGGATTCTAGAGGTCAAAGACTGGTAGAATCAAGATTAGAAGAGTGGTGTGTGGTGTGGAATGAAAAGGAATGAATTTGGACCCCTTTCTGCCTTTTTGCAATACTGGCAGTGGGAGCGGAGACTTCCTATTCCATTACAATGTCAGTAGCAGCTAGAGCACAGCCTCAACTAAAGAGCACAATGGGACCCACAATACCAAGGCCTGCTGTCGGTTTATAAAGTAGAAGCAGTGAAACTGGCTACAAATCAAGGGACAGAGAGCCATTCCTTTGGCAGCCGTTGCTCTGATTATAGGAGCAAGTTGCCATTCTTTGTGAGACAGCTGTCCTGAAGGGTTCTCTTCTAGATTGAAGTTAACAACCAGAAAGCATTACATTTGAGGACAGGGGTAGATTTTTTCCCCCAATTATTAAAATGAAAGATAAGACTATATAAATATAGTACACTTTTAGTGGATTGAACCAAATCAGGTTCTTAAAGTGAGTACAGAAACACGCGTTTGAAGGGTCTGAGAACTAGGGAAACTTTTAAGTAAAAGAATGTTGTGTGCATGCCTTCTGATGGAGAGTCCACAGCATTCACCATATTCTCAAAGGAGCCTCTCAGGCCACAGAAGCTTCTGACCACTGATACCGGTAATATTTAAGTCTCTTTTCACATATTATTATTCAATTGAAGCCTAACAGTGGTCTTCTAACAAAATTGTATTGTGTTTTCTACAGAACATTCTCATTTGTTCTGTAGAAAACTCGGACTTTTTAACTTTTTAAATACTGAACATGACAATATAAAATTTTTGGTCATTTTTCGGATTTTGTATAAGATGCACATTTATTTTACTTAATAAAATTCTGAAGCCATTGACAGATATCATTAGAATATTAGTTTAATTTGGAAAAGCTTAGAGCTATTACTAATGCCAAAAAAGCCCTGGATTTTATTTAGATCAGAGGGTTAATCAAATCCTATTGTACTTCCTATTATTTTAATATGGAATATACTGTATAGGTTTACCAACATGAGAAGTGTTAAACACTGGATTAAATAATTTCCTTTAATGCCTCTAAATTTCTAGGTTTGAAAGGAATATGCAGTTTCAAAGTTTGGAAATTCCTGAATGACCTCCCATTAAGATTATCCTAGGGGGACCAACTTGTGCAGTTTGTGCACGACTTTTCCAGTTTTAGTACCTTCCGTGTCTCAGTCCTGGGCAAACTGGGACAGTTGGGTCACCATAATTAGTGCCCAGGAAACAGATTCTTTCCTAAAAGCAAAATTATCACTAAAGTAGTTTAATTACTGTAATCAGTTAGCTCTGATTCAATAGTAAGTTTTCCGTACGATTCAGAAGCCTTTCACACTACACCTAATAGGACAGTCTACAAATACCACATGAAGCGAACACACTAACTTGTCTTCTGGCCAAACTTGGAGACTTTTAGGCAAATCAAGTGGAATTCAGGAACCGTTTTTCCCGTCAAAACCAAAACCCGTCTCTGTTTCAGTGTAATTCATAATCCCGTTTTTGGTGGTGTTTCTCTTATCCCAATTTTGTCAGGAAACTGGCTTTCAAACATGTGCTTTGCCACAGTTGATGTCCTCTTTCTAGATGTCTGTGCTGACCCGGAGCTGACACAACTGTTCATGGTCTCCTGGTCTGTTTCTTTGGCATAGGTGATGAGGTCCAGAGGATTTTTATGTGCACACTCATAGGAGACCCCATCAAACTGTAGCTGTTGCTTAAGGACACAGCGCTGACATAGCCTCTTGACACAGACTCTGAGGAGCATGGCTTCCTGGAACTGGCACCTCCGCTTATTCCCCTTCTCTCTGGGCCCAAAGGCAACTCTACAATTCTCTTCTAGAACACCCTCACCTCAAAGAAAGCTATTGACTGAGACAGCACTGCTACAATCTTCAAACTGTTCTGCCCAGATCACGAGACCCCAAAGACCACCGAGGGGCCGATTGCGATGCAAGCACACGAGGGTCTTTATTCAAGCTCGAGCAGGCACTCCAACGCACCCTGACACAGCGGTGATGGTATGGAGCCCCGAACTCAGGGCCGCAGGGCTTTTATTGTGGTTACAGTGGAATTCGGGGCTGTCCAGCTTGGCAGTCTCCGGATAGGTTGAGTTTTAGCACATGCTGTCTCGTCAGTACCCGATTGGCTTGGCCCATCTGGCTTGACCGCAAACTGCCAACAGGAACGTCTTGGGACATAGGCGCCTCTTTTAAACTGATTGGCTGCTGCTGTCGTTAGGGAAGTAACTAAGGGCAGGCTGCCTAAGTACTTCCTGCGGTTTTTTGGGTTTGGGCCTAGTTCACCCTCAAGATGGAGGTTTTTTTCCTAAAATGGAGTCAGTTAGGTTTACGTCTCACAAAACTTGGAAGTACACAGTGAAGACGCCATCACCCAACAGGTCTATTTTCATCCCTGCCTAAATTTCTAGCAGGGCAGGCCCAATTTTATCAGTGCCAACTTTCCCTACACCTCCAAACCCCGCTGTTGTGATCTTTCTTCCCAATCCTTTCCGTGTCTAGCCCCTTTCATCTCCTGAATGGGGAAGGGGGGTGGGGTGGGGGCTTAATAATCACCTCTGTTCTGGGAATCGCTTTCCAGTCATCTTGCACCTGCAACATCCTTAAACTGAATATTCTCTTTGTTCTAGGCAGATGTAGAAGGATGTTTGAAAAAGGAAACACAGCACATTGGTTGATATCTCCAGGTATTTTTTTTTATTTTTGAGAGAAAGACAAGGGGGTGGGGGGAGACACAGAGTCCAAAACAGGCTCCAGGCTCTAAGCTGTTTGTCAGCACAAAGCTCAACTCAGGGCTTGAACTCATGAACCTCTGAGATCGTAACCTGAGCCAAAGTCAAAAGCTTAACAGGCTGAGCCACGAGGAGCCCTAGTATCTCCAGGTATTAATATGCCACAAAATCCTCCTCCACATGGCCTTCTGCTCCATGTGTCTGATGATTTTTTCAAAGGAATGACTTCTGGAGGTTACAATGGATTCTTCTGACAATTAAAACCAACTTGACTTCCACTTACAGCCGTGACAGTCTGATGGTTGATTTTCCTCCCCACTCCCATGCAAACAACTAGAAAACCAAATTACCTATTTAAAAAAACCCTACACACACAAAGCTGTTATCTCCATACATGTAACTAGTAGATCACAGCAGAGGAAGGAAGAGCCAAGCAAGCACAAGCAGTTTCATGGAGCTCAAAAGACAGAGGCTGTTTTAGGGAAGGCAGCTAGAATTTGTGGAGCAAAAAGACAGGCAGGAAGGAGCCACAAAGAAAAGAGCTCTGGAAATCTGCCTAGGCATTTCCTTAGGTTTTTAGCCAAAGACTAAAAGATTATTAGAACGATGCCTAATTGCTTTTTTCATGTTCTAGAGAATGTAATCTGACCTCTCAGCCATTCTGGTCATCTTTTGATTTCTCACTCATAGTTACACTTGTTGGAGAAAGAAGTACCAGATGAATGAGGTATTACTGAATGTATGCCTTCTGTGGGAGTTTTCAGCACATGTGCAAAAGTAAGAGAAAGCATGGTCCACTGATGAGGCTAAAAGCTCAGTATGGTTGGGAAGTAGGACTGAGGCTGGAGATGGAGAGGGGAGAAGGGAGAGAAGCTTCTATTCTGAAGGCTCACCAGGAGTGGGTGGCGGTGGTATGAGACTTGTATGGGAATGTTTACTCCAGCTGTAGCATCACTGCACTTCCAAGTGAACACAGGCCTGAAGGGAACAGGCAGTTGGTTTACGAAAGCACAACTGGAAAATGTTTTGGGAGAACAGACTACATCCATATGGCAATTTATAAGGCTTTGGCCTAAAGCAGCTAAATCTCCTGTGATTACAACCCCCCCCACAGATGAACAGGGCAACACAGTACAGGATGGGGATAGGGCACAGGGTGAATTAGGTGGTTCTCTTCAGTCTGGAGAGTGCGGAGTTCTTGGTGTCTGTGCGATATCCAAGCAGCAGTTGTTAATATGATCTGATGCTCAGAAAGGAAATCGCAGTCAGAGATACAATCTTGAGATCTGCAGCTTTAAGACATGAGGCTAATTCTACTCAATCCAAAGCCTTTGTAATCTCTCCTGTACTGTGCTATTTCTCAAGTCAGAAGCGTGAAAATTTATTGAAAACCATATAGTGTTATAAATGTATAAATATCTCTACTAAAATCCATTGATCCATTGGTGAAGCTTCATTTAGCTTTGACTTCTAACCGTTAAAGAGTTTTGTGGGTTAATTTTAAAATTCTAATTAAAATTAATTTTTACACTACAAACTAACTAAAGAAAAAGCTAACCCTGGTCTTAGATTTTTCAAAGAAAAAGCTTGGGGAAAAAGTCAAAATGTTCAGCCCTAGGTCAAAAGTTTTATTCAAGTGCAGAGGTCCATGTGAAATTGTGTACTGGCCAGAATTTGCTGTAATAACAATTCCATTTCAAGACTATTTATTCTAACTACAACATGTAGGAACTATCACTTGGTATACATTAGAAAACTGAAAGCACAATTTTTCCTGTGAAGCTTAAAACTAATAGATGTAACTGGCACTGTAAAATAAGTCTACTGTATAAGGTCAACAATGAACTACATGGCCAGTATTTGGTATAATACTTTATTTTCTATTGTAGTAAACTAAAGCCAAGAAAATATCAAGTTAATTTTAAGGGCAAATCTTTACTCCTTAAAGAAAAAATACAAACTGTGGTACTTTTATAACAGATCATTATATTTTACATAATATAAACAAAACCACTAATGGATCTAGCTATATGCTTGGTTTCCTTAAACTATAACGAACCACACAATGGATGGAAAATGGGTTTACTTACTGGCATCAAATAAACTTGGGAAAATGGGTAGCATGCAAAAAAAAAAAAATTTTTTTTTTTTTTTTTTTTACTGTCTATGGATGGGAACTGACATAACCAAGCTTTAATAGCCCCCACCACCTCGTCCTTGTCCAAAGTAACCACCCCCAAATCCCCCTCTCATACCCCCCTGCTGGAATCCCCCAGACCCTCTGAAGCCGCCGCCACCACCCCCTCTGTAGTCTCCTCCTGAGACACCTCTGAAGCCACCTCGGGCACCTCCCCTATAGCCTCCACCAAAGCCAGACCGAAAGGAGTTGGGGCCACTACCAAAGCCGCTGCCACCAAAGCCTCCACTACCACCACCATAGCCTCCGCCACCTCCGTAGCCTCCGCTGCCATAGCCTCCACCACCATAACCAGAGGTTCCCCATCTATATCCACTTCCGTTGTCATATCGAGCCATCTTGGGAGGACGTGGACCATCTCCATACCTAGGAAAAGTACAAAAATCACCGTTTTAGCAAAGCATCCGTAATACTTCTTAGGCACTTACAAAAAATAAACATTTAGTCATATTTGAAAATTTAATACATAAAGGGAACAGGCCAAGTGCACAAATGCAAACTGAAATGAACTGAAATGAACTAAACTGTTATTCCAAAACAGGAGGATGTATCAACTAATGGTAACCATCTGTTTTTCTAAAGTTCTTTCTGGTTCATTCTCAAAGATCTTTATTTTTGGCCATATGTCCTTACAACTTAAGCTAGTTTGCTTTCACTGAGGCAATGCCTATACAGCATTCTATGAAGGCAATAATACGTGTAAAGAAGAGATTGCTGGAGTTGGCAATCAGTTATTTGATCTTTATCACCAAGTATTTTCCTTCATTAACTCTGAAATATGTTTTTGAAAAATGTCTGTGGGGATTTATTTTCACCTACATCTGTTTCATGTGGCAAAACAATAAAAATGAGGGGTAATGAAAACTGCATAAATCAGATGTCTCACCAACAGCCTCAATGCAGCATACCCCAAACTGCTTACTCCTCCTTCGCAGCTTTTCTGAGAGACTAGCACTATGAATTCAGCAGCCGTCCGGGACAGAAACGTGGCTGGGGTCTGTCTTCATTCTTTCCATGCACTACCCCCCCCACTGCAATCCATCACCAGTTCCTCCCAACTCTCCTGCAAACCCATCTAATCCTCGCTTCTCTCCATCTCAGTTCTCCCTACTGTGATTGAGGCTATCATTATATTCACGCAACCCAGACTTTTTCGTGTATTTATCCCATCCTTTCTACATCTGGACTTTTGTCCTTCACAAAGCAGATTATACGTGAAGCCTCCTTAATCACTCTCTCTCCTGCCGAAAGTAAGCTCTCCTCTCCTAAACACCTATGAGCACTGCAGTTGTTATCTGCCTGTGACAATTATCTACCTTTCTTTTTGAAGACTCTTCTCAGTAATTTTTTATATATTTGACCCACTGGAAAGGGCAAAGTATAGCACGATAAATAAGAGCATTGTTTTAGGAGTCACTACGGTCTTAGTCTGAACCCAGTCCTACCATTCACTAGCTGTATGGCCTTGGGTCTGAACTTCTCTGTGCCAGTTTCCTTATTCATATTAACGGGAACAGAGATCTATCTACATCACAGATAGATCAAATATTAGAAAAGCACTTAAGCACAGTGTCTGGCACACAATGAATACTATCTATATGATTAATAAATTTTAAAAAGTAAATCAGTTGTAACAAAATGGGACCCAGAATCCATAAGGCACATAACAGTTCTATATATTAAAATTATAATAGTTTATAACCAAATGCAGTAAGTGATCCTTGAAATATTAAGAAATATTTTTGGGTAACTAGAAAAACTTTAGTATGTTTGTATATTAGATAATATTATAACACTTAAACTTTTGGGGTGTGATCACGGTATTGCAGCTATGTGCTTTAAAGATACACTAAGTATACCAATGTAATATACTGTAACCTCTGCGAGTTAGTCACAAAGGATTAAACAAAAGCAGGTGGGTCTGTGCACAGATAAATGAAAGCAAGTGGCACAAGATGCGATGATTAGGGAGTTTAAGTTATGTGACTATATGGGTTTTTCACTGTACTACTATTCCTCTGCCTTCTCTGTAGCTATCAAATATTTCCAAATAAGTTGTGGGCAAGTAAAGATTAAAAAGGTGAAAAAAAGTGAACCAAAGACACAAATTTTAAGAATTATGAGAAATTTCACCCTTCAAGATACATTTTTCTCTTTAAAAAGTTTATTCATTTTGAGAGAGAGTGAGAGCAAGCTAGGTAGGGGCAGAGAGAGAGAGAGGGAGGGAGAGACTATCCCAAGCAGGCTCTATGCTGTCAGTGCAGAGCCTGACTTGAAGCTGGCACTCAACAATCCATGAGATCATGACCTGAGACAAAATCAAGAGTTGGAAGCTTAACCAACTTGAGTCATCCAGGCATTCCAAGATATTCACATTCTTTCATTTTCCTAAGATAAACCTTGAGGCTTTTCATTTGAAGAAGTGGCAATTTAACACCCCATCAACATTTTTTTTGCTAGAGGTGGCAGAACAGTACTGTGGAAAGAGAACGGTCTGGACTCTGTTACTTTCCGGTCATGTGACCCACCCTTGACTCTATAAGTACTTTCAAGGTCCCTTTCAAACTCCCAATATATGCACTGACATAATATATCAGTAACAGAAACAAAACTTAGTAACATCTTTCTGAGTGTGTTAACCAGCTTTATATTTCATATTCAGTGTAGGTCTAGAATTTTAACTTAAAATAACCAGGTCTCTAATAGTTAACTGTGGGGATTTTAGGCCAGTATAAGATTACTGCCCTCTGGGCGCCTGAGTGGCTCAGCTAGTTAAGCATCTGACTCTTGATCTCAGCTCAGGTCATGATCTCATGATTTGTGAGATCAAGCTCCCATCAACTCCATGCTCACAGCTTGGAGCCTGCTTGGAATTCATTCTCTCCTCATCTCTCTGTCCCCCCACTCTCATGTTCTCTCCCTCTCAAAATAAATAAATAGTTAAAAAGAAGAAGAAAAAAAGATTACTGTCCTCAGCTTGGTTCAAAGAAAAGTTACTGCAGTACTCACCGCGTACTGCCAATCATGAGGTTGATACCGGCAGCTGATGGCCTAGAAATCTGGCGGATCATGTTCAGCATATGCTCATTAACAGGGTCCAACTGGCTGATGATATTAGGTTGTTTGGTTACTTCAACAACCAGGGCCTCCATGGCTGCCCGGAGAGCAGTGATACAGGCAGCAGCCTCATGAGATATTTGCAGTCTAATCCTAAAATAGAGAAAAACGATAAAGTACAAGAAGGGGACACACAGCAAAAGACTACTGTCTCCTGATTTCATACATGGTATCTGAGAGAATAAATTTAACTTCTTAACAACTACAGGTATGAAGAATGATAACCATCTACACTAACTTTTTAAGACTCACTGCTAGCTACTGGAAGGTACTGTGAACCCATAAGTCTTTCAAGCAAAATACTGTTAGGTTAGCAATGTAGATCACTTAGCTTCAATAAAAAATGGAAGAAATAACAAACACACTGTTGGAATGTTACATATGACTGAGCCTACAGACTGGTCACTAAGATCTGTTCCACTTTTGTCAAGTGCTAAATACTACATGCTTACCAGTAGTCTCTAACCAACATACAGAATACACAAAAGAGATATCCAAGTTCCAATTAGATTCTAATTCCTTAGGGTAGTGTTCATGGGGCAGATGTAACTCCAATGCCTAATGCATTTGTTTCTTCTAGTATAGTTCATTTATGACTACTGAGTATAAACTACCAAGAGATACCACTCTCCAATAAAAGACAATGTTATAAAGGACCTCACTTGTGTCATGCAATTGTCATGTTTCACAAATTAAGTTAGACTGAGCAGCTGAATCCCATTACACCTCAACTTTAAGAATGCAATCTGTACAGTTTGTAGTTCACATCTGAAAATCCATACCAGTCATCCACAAGCACAATCTGCCCATCAGACTGGACTTTCTTGGAGGCAAAGAGAAGCAACTGCAAGGGGGTGACTAAGGTCATGCCTTTAGCAGAGATGGCTCGGGTTCGAATCTGCAGATGGAAAACGAGGCAAGAGGAAACAGATGACACTCTAACCGCCAAATAATGATAATGAACTATGCTTTGAAAGTTAAAATTCATGTTTCCACTGCACTTCAATAAGTAATGACAACTTAGATTTGCAATGCTAATTTTTCTAAAACCTTTTCTTACCTTTTCACCAAAAACAAAGAAGGGAGATGGGTACTTCATGTCTTGGCTGCTGAAAGGACAATTAACAGATGACTTGTGGATAAGTGCATTACGCCCTTCAGTGGTGAGAATCTTTCTCTTTTCCTTATGATAGCACACATTAGGGTACACCCCGAAAGCCAGGAGAGAGATAACAACATCCAAATTATTGTCCGGTCCGGTGTTAGTAAACACTTGTGTCAACAAGCAATCTGTTAAGACGAATGGGGTAAAACATCAGACATCTGGGTAATGATCCTCATATTGCATGTAAACTAGTTAAGAAAATTAGGAGAACTGACTCCTTCCCGGTCTTTCTTCAGATAACCTGCTTGCCTAACTTCCTCTCTTCTCAGAACTCTTGCACCCACATCAAGTTCAAGGAGAAACCCTGAGTCTCCACAACAAGAAACCTAAAATACCTGTATTTTCTTATACAGACTCAACCACAACATAAGCCTGGAATGATTACTTAACTACAAAAAAACAACACCCCTCCATGTACAGCAGTTTAATGATCTGCCCTCAGAATAAGAGCTAGACCAAAAAGACAACAATAAAATATTACACCTGTTGTTCTTAAATAGCCATTCTTTCTAGAGAAGATGGATTCAAGAGCTCAATTCCCATATGAAATATAACAGCTGGATTACTCTTTCTCCATCACTCATCCAAGCCCTCTTACCTGCCACACATGAAAACCTTAATTAAAGCCACTTTAAAATTTAATATGGTAAATTTCATATCTACATGCGAACATATGGGCAGACTGATCACTACAAACTGCTGAGGTAATTCAACAAAGCTCATTCTAAAACTGCTAAAACCTATGCCACTGTTCTTTATAAAAGAGACAAAAATCTCTAAAATAGTACAATTTTAAAACATCTATTAATCATCTATGTGTATCACAACCTTTTGCTTCCTTTTTTAAAAGACTGAATAAAGGTGAAAAACATTATCATTATGGTTCAGAGAACTCAGACATAGCTAAGAACACAGAAAAAGCACAGTGTCTAAAGTCTGAACCTAAAATATACTGCACTGTCAATGTGCACACACTATATTAACATCCTTCAGGGAGGTTTTAAGAATACGAGAGTCACACCTTCTGGAAATCCGGAATTAATCAGAATCTCTTTGAGCTGAACTTTGGCTTCCCAGGTCATTCTTAGCGTGGCCATATTGAGTCTCTTGTGCTCACAAAAACGTATCTCTGCTTCTTCTCCACCCATTCTGAAACAGACAAAGAGTCATTCTCAAAGCCCAGTATTGCATTAGAAACTAGAGACAGTTCTCACATCTTACAACTCTCTTCTTTCAAACCCATACCTAGCATCATCCCAAGCTTGGAAGACTGATAAAAGGGCCACATGATCAGAAAATCTGTTTCCGGCAAAATTTCTATGAACATAACCCAGTCGCTTTCCTTCACTGATGAACGGCTCCGGAAAGCAGGTGGCAGCAGAAATGGTACAGACGGCGTCTCCCACGCTGAAAGAGACCAGAAAATACAATCTGATCACACTCTTGTTCTAACAGTTCACAAGCAGTACTGTCACTTTGGGTTAGAGCCTTTATTGGCTATGATACTGCTTTATTAGCAGTGAAACTGGCTTAACAAAGAATTTTTACAGCTGCTCTCTCCAAAAGCAGAAAGGGAAAAAATTTAAGAGCTGTGATATTAATGGATGCACCGTAACCATAAATTATAACCAAGTATTATATTTTTCCTTTCTTTATTCTCTTCTCCATCTTCTCATATCTTTTCATCTTCAAAATTTCCTGATAAAATACACCTGTTTTCCTAGTGTGATTTCTCTTTCAAAGACAACTTACTTAAGCCCCTGAGAGGAACTGCACTTCTCTTTTGAGAAACTTGAGCTCTTTCCCCCAACAAGTGAGGCCCAGGTGTCTACCCAGGAACCATTCATTGTCACCTCATACTTTCCTCAGTATATACAGTAGGCCGCTTCTATGTCTGAGAAGCAGTTTTGTTTTCTGAGCCCATCCTGTTTTTTTACAGTGAAGGGAATAAGATTCTGAAATTGTTCTGCCATTTAAGTATCAACAATAAAACAATGCACTTACTAGAAAATACACCCCATTATCATCATTTTGCCAAAACGAGGCTCAATGGGGAGTTTAGCCAGGATTCGTCCCAGAGGAGTCAATTCATCATTGGCATCTAATGCATCAAGTTCTGTGGGGAGAGATGTTTGTGAGCAGAAACAGTAATGAATGTCCCTTTAACGGAAGCAAAGATGAAACATTTCCTTACAGGTTAAGGTTAGTTTTTATTATCTGTCAAGCCAACTGCGAGCACCATGCCCAGAGCCAACAATTCTCCTTACTCAAAAATAGAACAAAAGCAAATTTGGGAGGAGCAGCTAATAAGAAGAAAGTACTAGAATCAGGCACTGTAGATTGTGAAGCGGAATACAGTCCACAAGAACTCTATAAATGCAGTAAAAATGATAGTAACAGCATTAAGTACACATGTCCTAACAAGTCTAATACCAACTACTGAATTTTTAGAGAGATGAGATCTAAAGTCTAAAGTTCATAGTAACAGACGAGCACTAGATTTGAAATTCAAAACCAGATTCCCCTGGCTCCAATGAATGACCTTACTTTTTCTCCATATGATGCCACTTTTATGATGGGGTTACAAAATATATATAAAGATTTTAAGAGATCTACATAAACTACTGTATCGTGAGTAACTCATATTCTGATCGTTAAAAATTGGTTAAGACTTGTATTACTCCCTTCTTACTTCATATTGCTAATTTTATAAAACTGACCACACAAAATACATAAAGCAACACTTGAAGTATTATCACAGTCCTGCTGATTGTATCTCGATTCATCCGTTACATGTTAGTTGCAGGACAAGACAAATGGGATAATTTACATGTACTACGTAGGTAGTAACTGCAGCTACCTCTAAGAGTGTGCTCTGCTTCGATCACAGCATCCAAAGGTGGAGGTTCAATTGCCTTGGCCAGGAATTGGCCAATTCCTCCCAGACGCAGAAGTTTTATGCTCAAAGCAATTTCATGCAATGGTGTTCGGAACATTTCAGGTGTCATGTGGGTTTCAAGTCTGAGAGGAAAAAAATAGCATAAAATAACCATCTTCCCATGTTTGTTTAATAAAATCTTTGCGGAGAGATAATCAGGTTTATAGAGCTCTCCTCCCCTCATGCTTTTACAACTATCAAAGCATGTTTTATATTTGCTGCAAAGACTCTCTGGACAAGACCCTCTTAACTGAGCAGTGTCTTATGACTTTATACTTATAGCTTGATGTTATTTTCATCTGAGGCATTAGTGAAGAATGATGAAAAATTATCCTGAATCCTTCATGTTATTACCCACACTTAGGACTTCTTCAGGTCCTGCCTGCTGACAAACATGGGTTAAACAGTAGCTCGACAGAGGGGAGGGTACAAGGGGAGGAAGAGGAAAAATGGGTTAAGGAGAATGATAGAGTTTTCCAGTTATGGGTAAGTCACAAAGGTCGGAGGTACAGCAGAGAGTATATCTTCAATGGTACTATGACAGTGTTGTGTGAGGACAGACTATAGCTACACTTGTGGGGAGCACACCATAATATATAGAGCTACTGAATCACTGTTGTACACCTGAAACTAATGTAACATCAGGTGTCAACTATACTCAAAAACAAATGAGCACCTGGCTGGCTCAGTCAGTTAAGCATCTGACTCTTGATTTCAGCTCAGGTCATGATCTCACAATCATGAGATCCAGCCCCATGTTGGGCTCCATGCTAGGTGTGAAGCCTGCTTGGAATTCTCTTCCTCTCTCTCCCTCTATGCCTCCCACTCTTGAAAATAATGCCCATACAGTCTCCCTGTAAAAAATTAGTAGTAATCAGGTAACCACTATATAAACATGCCATCATTGACAATTTTATTCTTGCCACAATCTTGTTATGAAAGACAAATACCCTCTAATATACATAAGTGGAGACATTTATGTACTCTTGAGTTCATTAGGTTCATAGCAGGGCAGGGGAATGGGATGTATGAAGGGGTAAAAAAAATCCTTAATTCAACTGGTCTCACCTCTCAAAACGAGCTCGGCTACACAGGTGAAAGCAGAATCCAGGACGAACGCGGCCAGCTCGTCCTTTCCGCTGCTCAAGGTTAGTTTTGGATGCCCACACTGTAGCATAGTTGGTCATATTGTTATGAGCAGTGAACAGCTTCACCTTCTGCCTAAATAGGAAAAAGTGGTTAAGTCTAAGACTCATTTGTATGACCAGCATGTAACTATCCTATTTCCACTAAGGGGTGGATGCTTTCCAGTTAATTACACCAACAAAAAGCCTATCTGTAAACAGGACCAGTAAGAACTTGACTGCATCCTCTGATCTGTCAACCTTCTAAGAGGGAAAAAGAACACATATGTGCCACACATGCTTGACAGTCTTAGCCAAGTTACTAATACTAACCTTTCTATGCCTCATTTTCCTCATCTGAAAATGACTATAATACTTTTACCAACCTCACAGGGTTTTTACTTATAAACATTAAGTGAATGAATGAACTCTGTAAAGCACGCAAATAGGATCTGACGCATACATACAAGTAAACGATAATGATTCAAACCAACTCTATTCCAAAGTTTAGTTTTACTTCCAGGCTACCTATGATCTAAAAGTTATGTGCTGATGCAGAATTTGTGGAACTTCTGATGACCTCACCAAGTGTGCCTGCATTGTCTTTCTGAACCCCTGAACAACCCAGGCAGGGTTGATCCACATTAGGCAGCTGGCACCAAGTGACTGGAGGAGGCCCAGAGAGCTGCGTGCTCCACACCAGTCCCTAGAGCAGGCACTGGCAGATCTCTCTCAACTGCTAGGACAGATTGAGGGACTATGTGGAGAAGGCATGGGGCACAAGCTGACCGGACATAATAACAAACTTTTGACTTTTTCTTCTTTCTGGGTATCTTGTGTACTTTATCTGTACACAACGCGTCCCTGTGTATTTCTTAGAATCATCACATACCAAATATGAAGTTTTTAAATTCTTAAGTGAATGTCTCATAGATAGGATATTTTGTCATAAGATAAATATTGGTCATCTTTATACACTAAACAGCATGCTACTGTATGGCAGTGGTCAACGGAAACACCCAATGAGAAATGAGCAAACGTCAGCAGACAAGAGGAGTGGGAAGCTCAGAAGTTGGTGGTATTAAGCTTTTCACTTTCTACTAAAATAGGCTTCCGATAAATCAACACCAAGAATTATTAATTAGCCTATAACCCAGTAAGTATAGTGCACAGTAATTTTGATAGTACAAGAACACAAAACTTCAATTAAAAAAAAAAAAAGGCATTTCTGATTCTGATCCTAGATACTAACATGGAACATTCTTCAGATTTATTCTAGGCAAATAGATTCTTTGGAAACTTACTTGCAGGAGTCAATGACATAAACAACATCATTTATGGTAATGCTAGTCTCGGCAATATTTGTGGACAAAATAACCTGTGATGAAATATTAAGAAACATTATACTTCAGAAAATATTTTCCTACTATGCACTTAAAGGAACAGATTTGCTTATGTAACAAATGACAAGAGAATTACAGGAGCCTTAAAAAAATCATTCACCCACTGCCTAATGAAAAACTTGCTAAACTCACAAAGAGAAGAAGACCCCTTCTTTCCCTCTTCAATTTAGCTGGATTATAATTTTTTAGGAGTAGCTCTTTGAAGGCCTGTAACATCTGCTTAGAATCTATGGAACTTCCAACCCCGTAAGTGTAAATGTTTATTATTTACCTTGGTTACTCCACTTGGTACAGGATCAAATACTTTGCGCTGTTCCTCTCGAGGAATCTGCGAATGCAAAGGTAGAATCTGATACCTATGGCTTCCTATAAAAAAAGGAAAAGTTAAAGTTAAAAATAATAGCGTATTTTAAAACTACTCTACATAATGCATATTCAAATTTTATTCAAATACTGACACAACACATTTTGTTTTCACACTGGCTAGGGCACAAGCAAAAATATTAATTTTTCACTGTCAAATGTGTGAGAATTCAAAGAATCATACCAAAATGTGGATTCATCTCCAAATGCTTTTGCATGGTATAAATCAAATTCCAGCCAGGCAGAAACACCAACACCGCTCCAGGGACATTGAGGGTCTCAATGTACTTGAGCAGAGCCTCAATGAGTTCAAAAGGGGTTTCCTTTTCATTCAACTGTGCCATGCTCATCCTTGTTTCTGGACCGTACTCATCACCACAGATCAAGTTGCAATTTGCCTGCAAAAATTGGGAAATATATTTTGAATGGTCTCAATTACAACGGCTCATGAGGTGTCTCTTAGATATGTCCTTCACATTCAAGTAACACCTAATGTCCTTATTAATTCTAGCTGATTAGTCAGATCTGCATACAGAAGAAGTTTAATTTCCAAAAATATAGAACCTACTACATTTATTGAGATACTGAATTTTTCTCATGACCTACGTATGGGAAATACATAGGCAATGCCAAAATTCAAGCACAAGCTCTTAAATTTGATTCTGCAACTTTGAATGGCTCTGTCTACCCAGTATTATTTCTCTCATGACTTTAACTGTTGATGTCTCAAAAATATTTTCCTTACTAAGTCCTATGATCCTGTGCATCAATTAACATATAATTACTTTACTTGTACGTAATACCTACCTGTAGAATTCCCAGAATCATCTCATACCAATTTGAAGTCTTTTAATTTTTAAATCAATGTCCTGCTGGCAGCTCATCTGATCATTTATTTCTAAACTCTTGATTTTCAGCTCAGGTCATGATCTCATGGTTTTTGGGTTTGAGCCCTGTGTGGTGCTCTGCATGGACAGCACTGAACCTGCATGCAACCCTCTCTCTCTCTGCACCCCAACCCCTCACTCTCCCTCAAAATAAAAATAAAAAAGTAACTGAATTTTCTAGAAAGTCTGCTTAATAATCAGTGATAAACCAAACCTTTAGTAATGAGAAACAAAGTTGTTATAATTGGTCTTTTTTTTCTCCTGATAAACTTTCAAAGCTGCTCTTAACTTACACCCTCAAGCCTTCTGATTAAAAATATCCCAGATTACTTCCTATTAAATTCTGCTAAATTGTCTTATAGTATTTACTCTGTTCAAATTTCCAGATACAAGATACATTTTTGTATTATTGATTGAGCTCTCAAAATAAATGTCGTTTTTCGTTCTGGTTTCTCCTTAGGAAATCCCTCGAGACTCCCTGATTTAATACTCTCCATCTGATAATGTCATCACCATACAGTTTAACTAGGATAGCTGCTGCTGTGAAAAACGTTACTGTATGCAGAGATCACATGGAGATCTTGTTCAATGTACATTCTGATTTAGTAGAGCTGGGGCCAAGCACAGACTGCCTCTCTACCAGCTTCCCAGGAACTCTGGCCCATGGCAAATGAAACAGCAAACTCTTATAAAATGGAGTTATTTCTAACCACACGTGGCCTTTAAACATCTTACTCTTTCCTCTTCCTCCTTTTGACCTTTCTCCAGAGATGATTTAACTTTTGCGGTATGAAAAGAGCTGGTCACTGAACATGGAATTCTTTAGAGTGTCCTACATCAATTAATTGAAAAATAGACATGATAGTTTTTAAAAAGGTTTTCTATAATGCTAACTCATTTCAAGTTTTTACTTTAATCATTCTGTTCACAGCAAGAACAACCTGTCCCTAATGAAAATTTTCCATGAGATTCACTTACATCATCATCCTCAAAACCATCATCATCCTTCTCCTTCTTCTTCTTGTCTTTTGGTGGAGGAACAAAGTGGGTCATCTGAATACAGTCTTCCAAAAAATATTCTGCCGGGATAATCCAGTTGGATAAATACAGTCACTTTCAGAATGGAACAGTCTTCAAAACTCATTTTCTAATTCGTAACTCAAAATTACCTTATTACCCTTCAATATGATTTTCACAACTGGCAAGAAACTCCAGTGTTAATAACCTCTTTTTCCAAATTTACTGTTCTAATCTCCTGGGCCCTGAAGGAGGGTGAAGTGTCTCTCATACATGTTCCCACTAATCCAGGTAGGGTATCCAGTATACACATAATCAAACGTTTGTGGAATGGCTATAGGGCACATGCACTGTGTTGTATACTCCCATGGTATGGCAGTTAGATATGGAAAGAGATGTCTATACAGTAATATATCGTAGTCCATCATTCCTCTATCAGGATGTACCCATAAAATGGACTCCCTTTAGTTATTACTCTAAAGAGGGACATCACCAAAATTGGAATATCTGATCGATCAATTATACTCCTGAGGTTCTCTGCCAGGGTAAGAAATATCTCATAATCTATAAACACTTCCCCTCTATATAATAAGAGCCCTAAGTGCTACTCATCACATATCAATAGTACATACAACCACATGACTCATCACTGATGTTAAACTTGTTCACCTGAGGAAATGTTCATCAAGTTACTTCAAGGTAGTACAAACAGTATATATTTAAGAAAATACAAGTATACTCCAAGTTACTGTGAAGTTACTTTTGTTTCTCCCTTTCTACACTCTATTCTGTGGAAGAAAGTCACTAAGCACAATGCACTCAAGGGATAGGGAGGTATAAGTCATTTTTTTGAGGTAAGAAGCAGAGTATCTATGCAAATTTTTTGGAATTATTTCATATGAGATCTTTGTTACCTATTTATTTATTCAACAATTGTACAGACTCATATGCATTTATTTTATCCCCTAATTCAGTACTTGCGTTCCATCCCCCCCTCTGCCCCCCAAATTATTGCAGCTCTTTCCGGTTGGGTCCTGTGTCCCTGTCTCCATCACTGTGGTCAACAGAGCTAGGAAATATACACATGTACACTCATCTGTGTATCCATATATAACTGTAATGATCTCTTTGTCTATTCACTTGTATCTGAGCACGACTTCTTACTGATTGTCTCCAACTGTAATCCAATACCACCTGGTTTATACAAAGCTTCCCTCCTCCTTACCCATACCGTCTCAACTCCAACAGTAAACCTGCCTCTCCCATCCGCCATCCACTTATTTTTTCATTCTCAATATACATGTAAAGCAGTTTTAGAATTATCACCCTGTACCCTCACAAGGTACAACTGCACTGCCTTTATTTTAGAGCTAATCTTACCTTGGAATTAAAAAAAACAGCATCCTAAATAGCCATTTAACAAACTTTTTAGCTTATTTTCATGTCCTCAATTTGTGCTAGAATCCATTTTTTAAAACTAAGCTATTTGAGGACTATCCTAAAAAAATGATGCTAAAATATTTAGAATAAAGTAAAAGAGTGTCTTAACCATCAGAAATAGTCTTCAAACTTTCACGTTAATGTCATTTTAAAATATGCCTGCTGTGGCTCTATGAAAGATTCTCTCCTTAATCTGACTCTGGCTGCTTACACTTCTTAATAGTATTATTTCCCATAAACATCTATAAGCTATAGTGATTTACACTTGACTGTATATAATTCTGAAAGCTATCTTTGGCTATAAAGAAAAGCTAGGAAATTTACTGGGCATGCCAACTCCTCAAGTAATGAATGAAACTTGTTCTTGCTCCTCAGATTGTACTTGCTATAGCTTGACTAAAAGTCTAAGACTGCTATGACACATTTGATATTCTACTTTGGCCTGTATTTTAAATGTCTTTAGAACTATTATTCCAAACTCCAAGATTAAAAGAATCCAAACACTAATGCATAAAAGATGTTTACACTGCCACCCCACCTACAAACTATTTACCTTGAACTGGGTAAGTCCTCCCATAAACTTCAATGATGGGGCAATTGAAGAAATATTCACAGAACATACTGGTGTCAATAGTAGCAGACATAAGAACAATGCGAACTTCAGGATAAGCCTGAACCACATCACGCAACACTACCAAAAGGAAGTCAGTCTATTAAAACACAAATGAAAAAAAAATCACGTCAGTTCATTCTAATGAGAGACATCTAAGAGATTTCTTGACATCAGTGAAATTCAGTTTCTTTGGTGGCTTCTAGAGGTGTAATATAGAAGGTCACTGTTAAACTCTAAACTCTAGTTTCCTAAATAGAGCATGATTATTAACATCTGAAAAGATAAGAGCTGCAAACATCCAAGAAGACACTACTAATTATACTAAGTTTAAAAATAATAAAATTTACCACACCCAGTTCAAAGAAAAATTATTAAAAATCTATCAGTGATTCATTCATAAATAGTTCAGCTGCTGAATTATGCTCTTACTAACCACTGCAATGATACTTAACAAGAGAACTCTACTTTCAGAATTAGGTGCATTTAACAAAGAAAAAAAGGTTTACTGGCTTGGCTAAAAACAGGGGTCTACTAAGAGACTGAAGTTTCTGATTTTGACAGAAGATATAAAGTGGGAAAAGGGAAAGAAAAACATTCCACTTTGATTTTTTTTATTCAGAATCTTAGCATTAGTACTTTAACTCTCAAGTTACTCACATTTATGTCTCTTTCGTGTATTTCATCCACAATTACATGGCTGATTCCTCGAATGCCTGCTTCTAATTTTCTTAGAAGCACACCTGGAAAAGGAAATGGGAGTACCACCTGAGGATGAGTTTTTATGTTGATTAAAGTAGGGAAGTACAAGTGCAAAGAAACAAACTTCTAGACAGTCACTATGCTTCAGTTAAAATAACCCCACCATCATTTTAGGAATGACATAGCAACTTGTATATTTAAGTTACTAAAAAGGTTAACAGTGAACTCTGAAACATATTTGTTTGATGAAAAGAGTATTAAAAGATACAACTTTAGTAACCTAGCTACAACAAGAGGTAACATCATGCTCTCCAATTTGGAAAAAAGTGTCAGAAGTTCTACCTAAACTGGAATTGAGATTGGCTCCTGAGTTCTCATTTCTAGACACACTGCACCGTTACCAAATTTTCTTCAAAAACACAATATAAACCCCAAGTGAAAGACTAAAATAAAACCCATTACTGACCGACAGTACAAAACATTATGCTGGCATGAGGGCGGGGAAGGACGGACTCAAATCGAACACTGTAGCCACAGCTTTTCCCAGGCTCTTCTCCTCTCTCATATGCAACTCGCTCAGCCACGGAGACTGCACTTATTCTCCTGGGCTGAGAAAACAGAAACAGAAACTCATTCAAAAGCCAAAACACTACAGTTATACTTATTGGGGTGATTAAGTTACTATAGTAAATCTGTCCCACTGCCAGATCACTGCCAGGTCAACAATCAACACAAACAATAACTGTAATGAGCTTTTCAGCAAACTTTGAAATTAGAATAAATTAGAACAAAAACAATTACCACTTAATTCTGCAGCAGACTCTTAAAAATGCCATTTTTCCTTCTGTATATAAAGGAAGGTTTTTACAGAAGATAAAATTTCTTCACCACTGGCCTAAACTCTTAATGACATTCAGAGTATTTTTCCAGTAGGAAAGAGGGCAGAGCACGCAGGAGGAGCTGGTTCTTGTAAATGACTACTGAAGTGAAGGCACATGTTTAAAAACCTATTTAACTGAGCTGTATAGGTATTAAAACGTAAATAAGCTTCTCCTTTGCCATATGTACTATGGCCACCTTTCATTCAATCATTTTATTAACTCAAAGTAACTATTCATTGCTTATTTCTATCAGGTGCCACAGATAGTACTAGAGTTAGAAAACTAAATGAAATCACTCCTGTTCATGGTTTACGTGGCAAGGAAAACCGAAGTGTATATTGCTGTTTCCAGCAATAAATATGCTAAACCCAGTGGGAATGCCATAGGCTACTGTTTTAAGTGTTGGACCTTAATTTTTCTCAAAATAAAATCTTCTGAAGTAGTCCATATTCTTGTAGGCACACAATAGTTACATGGTGAATACTATGGCTATTATGATACCCCGGAGATATAGATAGATACGGAGGTACATGCAGACTTATAGACTAAATGCTTCAGTGTGGACTTGAATTTGATTTTGTCAAAAAATTCTTGATGGCAGTCCAGGGGCACCTGGGTGGCTCAGTCAGTTAAGCATCCGACTTTGGCTCAGTTCATGATCTCATGGTTCGTGGGTTTGAGCCCTGCGCTGGGCTCTGTGCTGACAGCTAGCTCAGAGCCTGAAGCCTGTTTCAGATTCTGTACCTCCCTCTCTCTCTGACCCTCCCCTGCTCACACTTTCTCTCTCCCAGAAATAAATAAAAAACATTACATAAAAAAAATTCTTGATGGCAAGGTTGTACTTTAGTTCCTTGCTTGAGAAAACTTTTTCAGACTTTCATATTTAAATACCAATGTTATCCCAGGTTATGACAGTTAAGAATCAAGGAATAATAATCTTAAAAAGAAAAAAGTTCAAAACAAAAGCTCAATAACTTCACTAAAGCTATAAATATCCTTTGAATACAAAAGAAATGATTTATTGAATTTTCTATCCATAATTTAAGAGTCTCTGAGGTAATGGGGTTAATAACCAATATAGGTAAGTACGCAATCACCTACTTCATATATTTATCCTGTCCACAAAGGTTAAGGGACTAAAAGATGCCTTCTTGAACACATGTTGAATTTTCCTGAGCTTATACTCTGCTTTATGTGCCCTGATTTGCTGACCTATGCTAGTTTTTACTGACCACTACTGACCTGTACTCTGTACCTCACTAACTGTGAATAAACGTTACATGAAGAACTGAGCTCTGTATTTATCCTTCAAGAAAAGAGTTTGGCTATATAGTTTTATCAGGAAACGTGAAAATGATATTCCACTAGTAAGTACAAAATAAATGTTTTTTGAGACCTTTCAAGAAGTTCGCTGCATTCTACAAACAGGCAAATTCCTGACACCACTATTATCTCCTTGCTATTTTTGTCTTTCCTAAAGTTTTCAACATTTCTACTAACTAGCTGACTTTTAGAAGAACTTCAAATCAATTAGGATTTTGACTCTTTGGAGGTATATTCATATGCTACTGGGTACTTGAGGGTTGCTTTTATCTCCTTGGGGCCACTTTCAGGTCTATCATCTTTGTAGTTTTCAGCCTTCTAAAATGACTACAGACAGGAGATGGCATATTCCTTATACAACTACCTATTGTAGTTCTTAAATCTATGGCCCCCAAACACAACTGTCAGAAGAGACTTGAGAAAGCCATCGATGGAAGAGTTTACAAATTAACATAGGAGATGCTAAAACAACCAACCTCAGAAGCACTATAGGCCACATTTTCTTGAATATGCACAAAAAACATCAATGTCAAGAGGACTATTCATCAAAAGAGCAAGAAGACCAATGCCCTGTAATCTTCTTCCCTTAATTTCTGTATGCTTCTGACCTCTCAGCTTCCAGTCTCAACAGTCTTCACTTTAAAACAAAGAAACCATTTAAAATACATACTGAAGAAAGGTTTTCTAATCATAAACAATCTGATGGGATTTTTCCTGAGGGGAGTATGGCAAAGTGCATAAAAGTTTATTAAAGCAGAGGAAACATACTAGGAGATCATATACATTTTTAAACCTTTAAAAGACTTATTACAGAAAAAAAAATCATCAGAGACTGATTTGGGGACAAGCACTAGGACAAAAAGATTCAATGTAATAGTTCAGAAGCACTTGTTCAAAATTAGCACACAAGGTACATTCCCAATGGATGCAAAATTTCAAGCATAACTCTCCACCTCTTATAAACATTCCACCCAGAGAAGATGAAATAATTCTCTGAAGTATCTTTCAACTTCATGATTCTATCACTTACCAAGGAATACAAGAGGACTAATAAGAGAAATGAAAGCTGTTTTCATAAACAGAGAAGTAAAACATTTACCCACCCTTCCAACCTGTAGCTCACTGCTTATATTTGTTATAGCCTATACACATAAAACCTGTACATTTTACAGATCAAGCCACTGGAAATGTCCAAATCATTTGAAAAGGGACACAAGCTTGTAAGCAAGTTATAAAAAGTTGAAGACTGTACTATGAAAGCCAATTTTGTCTAGAACACACAAAAGCCATTTTTGGCTACATCAACTTGGCTTTGACATTTATTAGATGGCTAGTGAGAACACACCTTCTCACTTGAACAGAAAGCAGTTTTATTTTATTCATGACATGTGAACAACTTCTGAGTGAGAACACAGGTTTTCAGCTCATCTGCTAAATTCTGCATTTCTTCCTATATAACTGAACTATTTTTCAGATTACAAGTAGAGAGTGGTAGTAAGGAGCGAGGGCAGAGCAAAGCTTAAAACTTGTCTTCTAACAATATACCTCCTACAAGACAGGTAAGCAAGCAGTAAGAGCAAGGATATTTTACTGATCACAGTATTTGGGGTTAGAACTTTCACTGTGAGGCAAAGCATTCACAGTCAGTGTTGGGAGTGGGAAGGGCAATCAAAGAACATTTTGAGAAAAAGAAGAAAGCTAAGGGTCCTTGCACAGAAAAAATGTAGACCTACCATATTTCTTAAGTCTAAGATAGCACTGATTTTAAATGCAACATTCATTCCTTCAGTGATTCTTTTCTAGGCTGAAAAACCCCAACTGTCACATCAAACACAGAAACCAACTGAAAAATATACCTCAATTTCAGAAATTATTTGAGAATATGATTTGAACACATACACATAAATGCACAGGCACAAACTTTTTTTTTTCTTTCTATTTCAAGGTTTGCAACTCCTTCCCAAGTATCAGTTATGTGTCCCAGGTTAAGAATCCCTAAGTCACAGTCTAAGCCAGCCTGAGAGGTGGTATCTGGCTTCTTGCAATGCTAAGTGCCAGAAGTACTGGGTTAGAGCTGCTGGGAACTGCTTTACCCTGAGAAGGTCTGGAAGAGCTAAGAACCTTTCCCTAACAGGCATCACTTATTGCTAATAAAGTAATACAATGTAAAACACCGCATCTTGTGTTAATAACTTGGGCAATTTAATATCTTTTTGTGCCTTAATTTACTAAAAGAGAAATACTAAATAAAATAGGTACATCTTAGTTATAATAAACTTTAAATGAATTTAAAAAATACCAACTGTTAATAACAGAACCTGCCAAAAAGTAAAGATTCGCATGTGAACTTAAGGAGAAAGTACCCTCAGTCCTGACTGATTCAAGGTCAAAAAAGACTCACTCTAGCCTAGACAAAAAGAATCACTCACATGGCTCAGTTCGGCCCATCAGTGAAAGAAATTAGAATAAGACTTAAATTATTTTTTTTTTTTTTAATTTTAAATGCTTTAACGTTCTACCAATTTCAGTACCTTATGTGGCTACAAAGGGGAGTTAATCAAAGAATTAGAAATAGCCTAGCCTCTAGGTTTTTCCACCACCCAAACTCTATCAACCGCAGACACATTCCTTCTAAGCTGGTTTACTACTTACCTGAGTTACAACAATATTACACTCTGCTGCTCGGTCATTCTGGATGAAGTCATCTAGAATAAACTGTGGAACCTGTGTAGTTTTACCACATCCAGTAGCACCTCGGATAATGATAACTGAATTCTGACTAATTGCTTCCAGGATTTCACTTTCAAATTTCTTCACAGGCAGCAACTCTCTCTCCTGTAAGATCTGTTTTATAAAAGTTACACATCAATCAAGTTTCTAACAACATATACATTAGAAGCAACTGTCTTAAACCTAAAAAAATTTCCTATCTCTATAAATAAACACTCCTTTCCACTAGCTCCATACTCAAAATACATTTTTAGGGGGCGGCTGGGTGGCTCAGTCGGTTGAGCGTAACTACTGATTGTGGTCTTAGGTCATGATGCCAGGGTCGTGGTATCGAGCCCTGCCTGCTTCAGACTCTTGAGCTGTGCAGAGCCTGTATAAGATTCTCTCTTTCCCGTCTTCCCTTCTCCCCTGCCTCTGCACTCTGTCTATAAAATAAAGTAAAATTTTAAAAAACCCACATTTTCCCTATAAAACAATGTACATTTTTATATCTCCAACAGAATTACCTCTTTTCACTAAGTTTCTGAAGAATCTATCTTGTGGCCTTGTCCACATCCTTATTTTCTTCCTTTCTCATATTCAATAAATATTCCGTTTCTTAGAAAACATTTTAATGTTGTTTTACTCAGAAAATAATTAAAAACGCCAAGAAAAGTTATTACCCAAATGTCTCCATTTACATATAAGAATCCCAGGTCCTTGAGGCACCTGGGGGGCTCAGTCAGTTAAGTATGTGACTCTGGCTCAGGTCATACATGATCTCAACATCTGCAAGTTCGAGCCCCTCATCAGGCTCTGTGTTGACAGCTGAGAGCCTGGAGCCTGCTTTGGATTCTATGTCTCTCCCCCCCCCCCAAAATAAACATTAAAAAGAAGAAATAATAAATTCTGAAGGTCTCTCTCAAAAATAAACATTAAAAAAAAAATTCCAAGCCCTTAACTCAAACAAGTATCTTCAAAGGCAAGTACAATTAGTGGTTCGAAAAATACCTTTGATCTCCATTCCTAAATGTATTATTCACTGTTTTTATTTATTTTTTTTTTTGCCCATACCTATAAAGTTCTGAAGCTCTGGGCACCATATATCTAAATATTTCAATGACTTACTGCTTGCAAATCATGATCCTGTTCCAGCTGGTACATTAACTCATTCTTGAGGTCCATGCTGATTTGTTCTGGAGTAGCCTATAAAATGGGAAGGCAACAGTCAAACAAAAGCACGTAACTTAGCTTTAAACTAAAAATTTTTTATACTGTGGACATCTTAATGAAATATATTCAAAAGCTTAAACAAGAGTCTGAGCTCAAAAACAATGTTGCACTCACATAAGCCAGTGGTCCTTCATCAATGTTGCTACTAGTCCAAGGATTCCAGTTGGATTGTGGAGGTGACCAAGGAACCACACCAATTTGGTTTTGTCGCTGAGATGGCTCAAAGTGAGCTAATTTGCCAAGGTTAAGTGCAACAGGCATAAAAGGATCCTCAGGCTGTTAAAAAATAAGGAAAACAAAAAAAGCAATACCAGTTACTTATCTGACTAGAGATGTTCAATACAAAGGTGTATTAAATAACTGTATGCTTACTGGGGGCACGATCTCAAGATTTAGCTCCTGAATGACGTTCTGCAGCTGATGCTCTAAATCTTGTGAGAGGTTTACTTTGTAAGGCTCCACCTACCGAAAAAGGATAGTCATGAAAATTATGTAACATACATCTGAGCACTACTCAAAACTACTATAGCAAGGTTAAGAGCACATAGTTAAGTAGGTCCACAATTCCTAAAACTAACAATAGGTCAGTTCCCTGTCGTGAAAGAATGACTTTAATGATTATTTACTTATTGCCCACTCTGAACACAGTATCATGCCAGAGAGGGGATCAGATGGGCCATTTCCATTTTTTGAGGTAAGATTCCTAAAACTATGAATTAAACTTCTTTAGCCAAATACAAATCAAAAGCTAAATGGAATCTTAGAATATTTCTCTGGGCTACTAAGTCTAAAGACTCACTGTCTCTCCTTCTTTCTTCTTTGTAAGTCCAGAGTAAGCTTCAATTACTCCAAGATGGTAGAGTTGTCTGACAAGTGACAGAGCACAGGACTGTGCTGCCAGTTTTTTATTTGATCCATGTTCACGTGCGAAAATCCCTATAATTTAAGGTCAGGATTACCAAAGACAGTAGGATAAATCATCTGAGTAAAGAAAAATCTCATCATAAGCAACTAATGGGCTTAGGTACAAAAATCCCCCCTTAAAATAGAGTCAGTTAAGTTCTTTTCATTCTAACTGCTAACCAAGAGCAATTCCATTAACAGCTTATTATCTTGATTACATGTTTATTAAAAAACACAGACAAATCCTCATTATTAAAGCAGCTAAACTGTTTCAACAGACTTGTCATTATTTATATCATTTGGTATTAAAACACAGAAAGAAAACATAGTTTAACTTTTGAAAAACAGAATAAGGAATGAAAATGGGTCCAAAGTGGTCAGTGATTCCAGGAATCAGTGATATTATATAAAGAATCAGATAATAAATAGCTAAACTTGGCAGGCCATATGGAGTCTGTCATAGCCACTCAACTCTGCCTTGAAACCATGAAAGCATCCATAAACAACATAAACTAGAGTTTGACAAACTATGGTTTCAGGAACTGAAAGCTGCTGATCTGTTTTTAGAAGTTATAAATATAAGGCAAAAATAACAAAAGGTGATAAATGTGACCCACAGAGCTTAAAATATTTATGATCTGGCCTTTTACAAAAGCTTGCTAGCCCCTGACATAAACAAATGACTGTAGCTATGTTCCAATAAAACTTTGTTTATAAAACAGGTAGTGAGCTTATATTTGGCCAGAGGCTTATAGTTTGCTGTTCCTGGCACCAGACTGAAGCCTGCAGCTACTCAAATTCTTCAAGAAAATGGTACAAGTTAGACTGCCTTTATATCTCTTCCCTTAACATCTCATCCACTCAAAGTCTAACTTATTTTTAAAGTCTAGGATAAAAAAAATCCAACATGGTCTCCTGATGATTTGAAGGTCTGATTTTATGAGAAAAGCCTTTCATATACTATAAATTTAAATCATTGGTGTTATCTGCAGAATTCTCAAGCTAGAAAGAATCTCAGGCTGTTTCTCTCAATTTGCAGATAAGTAAACGGGAGTCCCAGCAACATTAGTGACTAAACCAGCCACACAGGGCTAGTTCCTTCCAGTTTAACACTGCTTGCTTTAAACTTCTGGTCTTACAATAGAGAATACATGATCAGATCTTTGCCTTTTTACTTCCTTTATGAGTAACTCCAACCTATTTGTGTTTACTCTGGGTAATTTCCTCACCTCTTCTTGACTCCATGACTCTGAAATGCTACACACCCATCTTTGGCTTCAAATGCTATCATCTAACTTACTCCTTTCTAAATTTCACTTTGCTAGTTTTACCTGAACAAACTGAGAAACACTTTCATGTAGAAAGATTAAAAAAGTTTTAAAGCTCTCTGACACTGACAGACTCCTAAACAGCCTAACTACCATCTCTTCTTACCCTTTGAAATATAGGAACATGATCTTTTTTTCACATGCAAACAGGAAACTGAGCCCTCTAATTATAGAATTACTAGTATTCTAAAAATACCCCAGATGCTACCTTTCAATTACTATTCTTTCAGTTAATAAAGCTTAACACATATGTGTGGCTCAAGACTATTACTCCACTATAGAAAACTCAGAATATCACAAAAAACAGTAAGACTTACTTCTGCCCAGCTGCTTGATATAAATGGTCATTTCTGCAATAAAGCTCCTGTAACAACATATACAAACAAGGTTAGGAATTTCACTGTTAGAAATTACTAAATCCAGGACTCCCAAATCAGGCAGGCTTTCCAACTGCTTAGGCAAGTCACAGCAAAAAAAAACACTGTAAACACTTATTCTGTTCAATCCTAGAATAAATCAAATATATGTAAACTTAAAATAATGTACAACATGGCACAAGACAACCATAATCCAAGTTGACAAGCCAACTGTTCACAAAAAAGAAAATGTTAAGGTTTTAGATTATGTTACTTACTCCAAAGGTTGCAGTCTGAATAGCTAGAACACATTCAATGAAAAGGAATTTTTCATTTAGCCTGGAGCAAGAAATAAAATAGGCCCCAATTTCTTGAAATTGTAATTGTGATTATTTTAAGATCGCTTTGCATGGGCCACCTACTAATGATGCTAATCTGTGTGCATGCACACATACACGTGAACATACAAACACTGTGCATGTATCTGTGGCTCCTGAGCGGGGGTCTGGTATCTGCCTGCAGTTGGAAGCAGCCCTTGATAACAAAAAACTTGTATCACACTTATTTAAATCAAAGAACAAGATTTTCTTTTTTGACAATTAGAACTGAAATTGTTAACAGATTCCAGGGAATAAATTTAGGTTTCAATAAAGCAAAAACTGTCCTTTGAAAACTGTATGCTATCTGATCCTTCCACTGCTCAGGTACATTCTAGCCTTGACTTTGTGCTTTGAATAAAAGGTTAGGTAAGGCTTAAGAAAAAAATAAATGTTAGACTCCTTCCTATACCTCTTGTGAACTGACCTTCAGGCACAGCGGCTTCAGGGGTCAAAGGCCACTGGCTTTCAGGGGAACAACATCCACCCTTTCATTAATGACACCGATGCCAGTATGTTTCTCAGCCAGGCTTAAAGTCAGCACTCAATCTCATTCTCCTCCACCTAGGGGGAACAGCGACACCAGAAATCAGTTTACAATAGTTTTCCATGTGATTGCTTAGTTCAGCCTAAGCAGCAGCACATGTGTGTATGAACACAGACCTCTGGTGTTGCTGTCTGTTATGCCTTTAAATAAAGGACATAAGGAGATGCTGTCCTAGCTCCCCCAATGGTATTTTGCCTCCCTCATTGTCATATCCTGAATTCTTCAATTCTTTGGATCAGGAATTATAATGGTATCAAAACGTGTTTTACAACAAGCTTTGTTTAAATTATCTGGTCTTAAAGTCACCAAGTGATACTAATAAGCTCAAATCAGTTCAGAAGGACAATGTATTAAAGAAAAATCAACAAATGGATCTTTCTTTTATAACCTCCAAGGGTTTAAAAAAGTCTGATGTCAGAATTATGTATTTTGAGAATTCAGGATTGAACAAAGAGTAGGAAGCAGGGGGAACCATGCTCTGAACATCATTTTGATCATAGTGTCAAATTTTATTTTTGGTAATAATTATTTTAGGATTACTAGATGCAATGAAGGAAGAACATTCTGATTTTCAAGGGAAATACTTTTAATGCATTTTGAGTAATTTATTTCACATAAAGGACAGCAAATTAAATCATTCAGAAGGTTTCCATAGCCTTCTTTCCCCTTCCAATAAAAATACAGTGCCCCCAGAAGAGTCTAATCCATATGAGCCTTCCTGGGAGTAATAATTACTACACCCTGGAATGCTCTCAGGAAGAACAGCAAGCAGGCTGAGAAACATACTGTCAACTGTTATAATGACCTCCCTTTACATTCAGTTTTATAGATTTAACAGGATAAAAGTAGGCTAATATAACACATGTACAAAGACTGAAGCTATCCTTCAGCTTTACAATAAGCCTTTAAACACTTCAACAGGACTCTAAAGAGCTGGCAACTTTCAAAGTTAAAGGGAAATTTGGATCTAGATGCAAGGCAGTTTACCTGAGACTTTGAAACTTGAGGTGTCTAATATGACCCAATAAATAAGCCTTATAACTATCTTTAACAGTACCACAGTGACAGTTAACAAACTCAGCACTTTGGGCTGATTTTTAAGCCCATCAGGGACAAACCACCACTTGTGGCTATGATTTTAGCATCTCACAGATACAAAGGAGAACCTCAGAAGTCTACCAACACAAACAGCAGACTTTTGCATAACTTCTAAAATACTAAGTGAAAATGCTAGTAAACTAATTACAAATCAAGGACAATTTTCTTGTGGAACTTATTCTGTTTTCACAATTCACTTCTAATCCACAAACTGAATCAGAGAACATGTACAAAAATAGAACAATGAATATACAAAACAACCTAACTTACTATAGAAGAAAAAGACTGAAACAAGCAAACCTGTTGTGATCAGGACCCACTTGGGTGTACTTATATTCTCCTTGGATCTTTTCTTTTTGGAAATACTGGTTCAGACGAGCCTTAGCATTTTCCAATGTCCAGTTTCCATGAAGCCCAGCATTTAAATCCACTTCTTCTGACTCTAAAGTCTGTTGAACCAATGAGAATTAAATTTGGCTCCATTAATTTTGGTTTAGTTATGCATATTTATGGTAAAGAAATTTAGGGGCGCCTGGGTGGCTCAGTTGGTTAACTGTCTGACTCTTGATTTCAGTTCACGTCATGAGCTCAGTTCATGGATTTGAGCACTGACAGTGTGGAGTCTCCTTGGGATTCTCTCTCTGACCCTCCTCTACTCTCTCTCAAAATAATAAACATTAAAAATAAGGTATAAACATTTTTAACGGTATCTTCTTTGTGCCATCCTTTATAATGCAAAAATGATTTTTAAAGTTTCTAATCCTAGTCAGAATTGAACCAGAATTAGCTTTTACCTCATCTAGTGGTTCTACTGTATAAACAAGCTATTAGTTAAGTGTACTGTACTTAAACGGTTCCCAAGAAACCTTGACAAAATATTTTGTGTTGGCTTTAACACTTTAAATATATTAAGTGGAAAACTAAGCTGTCCTATTAAGACATTTTTACTCTAATTGCTCACAAAATGAGGTTTACTGAGGTAACTACATTTCCTGTAAAGCAGATGAGGACACATTCTACCACCTGAAAAATACTGTTTTATTTCACAGGCAGTCCTAGTGACCAGAATTAATGGGTAGATCAGGTTTATGTTGTCTTGTGTGAACAGGCAGTCTCAAAAGACCATTTAAAAAGTCACAATCCCAGATATGTGACAAAGGATGACAGCCTTACCGCTTGTACTTCTTGTTCTTCCTTTCTTGAATAATAATCTTTCAAATTGGCTCCTCGATCCCAGGTAGGCCCAGGAGGACCATAGCCAGAGGCTCCAGAATTATTTTCTAGTAAGGAAAGAAAATTATTCCTTTAATGAATCAATCTGTAGGAAGATCCTAAATATTATAAAGAATATTCTTAGATCTTGGCATTCCGTAATTAAAAAGCCAAAGTTTCAATTATTTGGAAATGGGCCCCAAACCCTCATGACTTACTTGGAAAGTGTTTCATGATAAAAGCATAGGTCTAAATTGATAATCCCAATGCTGGAATGTAGAGGGGAGCCACTGGCAATGATCATAAATTACTGACAATCCAGCATACATTTTCAAGTTGATTAAACTTGATACCTGATTAAATCTGTTACAACTGCTTCTTTGCTAACTATAACCTTGAGAAAAATCTGTTAGCGTAGTGATGGGGATTAGGAGAAGCTGAAAAGGTGTAAGAAAGTGATGAATCTTGGTAAGAAAGCAGAGAAAGATAGTGAATACTGCCTATTAACTCCACGAAGACTGTGACATCCTTTTTTAAAAATTTACTCCTCACAACAATCTTCTAACAAAGTAAATACTACCGTTATTCTCATTTCCTAAATATTGGACCTGCGACTTAAACAGCTTGACCAAGATCCTAATTAATCTATCCTACACTGGGAAGACCAATAAAAGCTTTGATAATATATAGAATTGAGAAACACCTTGGATCCATAAAGTAAAAAGTCATCTGGTAGGAATAAGTCAGAAATAAGAAAGGGCAATAGAGGTGCCTGGGTGGATCAGTCTGTTAGGCATCCAACTTGGTTTCATCCCAGGTCATGATCTCACAGTTTCATAAGTTCAAGCCCCACATCAGGCTCTATGCTGGTGGTGCGGAGCATGCTTGGGATTTTCTCTCTCTCCCTCTGTCCCTCCCCCACTCATGCAGTCTCTCAAAAATTAAGTAAACTTAAAACAAATGAATAAAATATAAAAGAAACAGCAATAAATAAGACCCTTTAATCAAATGTTCTATCTTGTGCAAAATCTAGCCAGAGATAAAAATTAGTAGAAGCTGGGGTACCTGGGTGGCTCAGTCAGCTGAGCATCCAACTCTTGATTTTGGCTCAGTTCATGATCTCACAGTCTCATGGTGAGTTCAAGCCCCACACTGTGCTGACAGTGTGGTGCCAACTTAGGATTCTTGCTCTTCCTATCTACCCCTCCCTCCCTCACTCAAATGCATGCTTTCTCAAAACTTTCTCAAAATGAAAAAATTTGTAAAAGCTAATGAGAGCAAAGAATGAAGCTATACCACACTTCATAACAGAAATCACTGGTGGTATTTGTAAATTTATGAAGGCCTTGGGTCCTCTCAACATTATCAGTTTACTGTAGTAATTTCTTTCATCCAATGAGAAAGATCATAATCAAGCAGAATCATGTGTATCTTATCCACTGTCATATGCACACTTTCAAGTCCCTTACCTGCCTTAAGAGCCAAATGTGGAGGAAGAGGTCCTCCCATGGTTGTTGGCAAACTCCCACTCGCATTCGCCGTGTCATCAGGTGTATCAGTAAGTGGAGGTGGGGGAGGTGCTACCTGCAAGAGGAGGAGACATGGCAGTGTCAGTAATTTTACCCTCACAGGGACTAGTAAATTCTTTTACACTTAAAGGAGGCCCACATGTCACCCTTTCCTATTTCCATAATATTAATTATCTTTGTTTTCAGTGATTAACAAAACTATCATGTTCTCACTTGAGGCAGAAAAAAGAGCAGTAAAAATTATTCATAATTCTCCAGCTGGAGATTTTATGTGTAATATGTAAACAAATAATTTTTTCCCCAAAAAAGTGCTATCAGTTTATGATATACAGTTAATCTTTTTCCACTTAGTAGTTTTATAAATACATTCCACATTCAAGAATCATATGTCAGGACCCTTCTATGTAGTTCTGGGTACTGAAGAAAAAATACGCAAGAGAGACAGCTGTCCTATATTTACAGAGCTATATTCAAACAGCTGTATTACAATTCTAACAAAGCTAAACAACACATAATATGTCAAGGACAATACAATACTGTCAAGAAAAATTAAGCAAAAAAAAAAACAGGGACACTATGTGAGATCACTACTTAGATGCAGTGAACTAGGAAAGCCATACTCCTAAGTGACATTTAAAAAGAGATATGAAACTAGGAAGGAGACAACCAAGAGTATGGGTAGAAAAGATTTCCAGAGAGAACGTCAAGTTCCAAGAAAAATGTGAAATATTTTATATACATCTTCTATTTCTTTAAGTATTAATCTAAGTGAATCTTAATGACTCCTCCATTGGATGGATGTAGTATATAACTTAAGCAATACTATATTAATAAACATTTAGCTTGTGGCCAATCTTAAATTATAAAACAACACTGCCATAGTGTTGTTGGCTTATTTCTTTCAGCAAAGATTCACTTAAGTGAAATTCTTGGGGGGGGGGGGGCACGCCTGGGTGGCTCAGTCAGTTAAGCCTCAACTTTGGCTCAGATCATAATCTCATGGCTTGTGAATTCAAGTCTAGCATCGGGCTCTGTGCTGTCAGCTCAGAGCTTGGAGCCTGCTTCAGATTCTGTGTCTCTCTCTCTCTCTCTCTGCCCCTCCCCTGCTCTCTCTCTAATATAAACAAACATTAAAAACAAAAATTAAAAAAAAAAATTAAATTCCTGGGTTAAAAGGCATCAACACCTGGGGCACCTGGCTGGCTCAGTTGGTGGAGCATGGACTACTGATCTCAGGATTGTGGGTTCAAGACCCATGATGGGTATAGGGATTACTTAAAAATAAATTTTAAATATGGGGTGCCTGGGTGGCTCAGTTGGTTAAGCATCTGACTCCAGCTCAGGTCATGATCTCACGGTTTCTGAGTCAAGCCCTGCATCGGGCTGTGGTGATCAGTGATGACAGCTCAAAGCCTGGAGCCTTCTTCAGATTCTGTATCTCTCCCTCTCTCTCAATAAATAAAAACGTTAAAAAAATTTTTTTTTAATAAATTTTAAATCTAAAAGGCATCAACATTTTAAAAAGCACCATAGTGCATTACAGAAAAGTTGCACTTCCTCTATATGTACACCAGCACTAAATATATGACAATCTATTTTTCCATATCTTCTTCAATTCTGGGAATCACAGCAAGCATTTTACAACTGTACCAATATTACCTTAGTTTTTGTTACAGCAGCCTATTATTTTAATTTACATTTCCTTTGCCTATTATTCTATCTGGATATCCACTGTTCTCTTTAATTTCTAAGAATTTAACGTTTCAGTGCTATTAATTCCTAGTCAAGCAAGTCGCAAGTTTTATTGTCCTTTTCCTTTTTTAACTTTGTTAATACTGATTATTGCCCAAAAAGGTTATTTTGTTTTTGTTTCTTGGTCATATCTGGTTTCTTCTTGTGCTAGTCTCTGTAAGATGGCCTTTCCCGTCCAAAATCCATTCTGCATTTTTAATAAATATTTTAATTTAGAAATAGTATTATGTAAATATAACTACCGTAATCTTACAATAGTCTTCATTAACATGTGGTAGGTTCAACTAGTATTTCTACCTTTCAAATTCTTCTTGGCTTTTTTTTCAGCAATTATTTTTTCCAATTAACTTTTTAAGTCTAATTTATCAAATAATGTTAAATCTATACAATTTACTCAAGGAGAATGGGCTTCCTAACAAGGAATTGATTGAAATGATAATGGAACCTCCCACCAAGAAACAGGGTATGACTCTATATTTCATCAAGTCTTCTACCTGTTGAGCCAATTCTCCCTCAATATCTTGTGACTCTCCAAGTCCTTTAAACATCTTTTCAAGGAGGTCTGAATACCAAGTAATAACCTTGGAAGGTAGATATAAGATCTTCCTCCAGGGGCGCCTGGGTGGCTTAGTCGGTTAAGCGTCCGACTTTCGCTTAGGTCATGATATCGCGGTTCGTGGGTTCGAGCCCCGCGTTGGGCTCTGTGCTGACTGCCAGATTGGAGCCTGGAGCCTGTTTCAGTCTGTCACTCCCTCTCTCTCTGACCCTCCCATGCTCACGCTGTCTCTCTCTCTCTCCTAGAAATAAATCATTTAAAAAAAAATGCTTTAAAAAAAAAAAAGATCTTCCTCCAGGGCAGGGAGCAGATTTGTTTAATGAGGATAGTAAAAAAGATAGGGTGGCAGTTTTGCCAGCTGCTTCCCTTTTAAGATTGACAGTTTCCTAAACTCCAAGTACCTCGAGTGGAACACAAACTCACTATGCCTTCAGTATCCACCTGGACATGCTCCACATTGTCTCCCCAAAATTTAAGGACACAGAGGAACCAATATAAACATGGAAGCTCAAGATGCCTACTATCCCATGAGTAGTAACAGCCTTTGTTTCTGATTGAGAAGTCTTGTGTCTTCTACCATTAGGTTGAATCATTAGATTTCAAGTATGGTAAAATCTCAGACTCTTAAGACTTTTTAACACTATCCTTCAGTAAAAACAATGAAAGGTTCTATAAACTATATTATTTTTTTTTTAAATGCTTATCTATTTTTGAGAGAGAGACACAGAATCTGAAACAGGCTCCAGGCTCTGAGCTGGCTGTCAGCACAGAGCCCGACGCAGGGCTAGAACCCACGAACCACGAGATCATGACCTGAGCCAAAGCTGGACGCTTAAGCGACTGAGCCACCCAGGCACCCCATCAAATGCTTTTTTTTAAACCTCTACTAAGTCAACCAATGAGTAAACCAATGAGTATTTTTCTCCTATAAAACTCATTAACGTGATATAGCAAGAAAATTTGAATACGGGGTTTGCTTCAGATGTGCTAGAGGTATCATACGAGCTATGGTATGTGCACCAAATTACTTTTCTAAAATATGAAACAATACAAATTCTCAAACCCACCTAAGCACATGTGTTTTTGATAAAGGAGCATGAATCTACAGTATTTAGTATTTTCTTAATTAACCTTGGGATGAACTACTTATCTTTTACAAAGGGTTATTTAAAATTTTTACTCATCACTTTTAATTCTACAATTTCTGATCTTTATTAATTTCTTCGTACTCTAGATCTGTTCAATTTTCCTGATCTGAAAATTACTGGATTGCACATTTAAAAAACTTACTTATGCAATAATACAAGTATTTGATGTTCCTTTGAATAAATAACAATTCCTCTGGCCTTCCACAAGTTCTGACATTGTTAACCTAAACAGTGTAATTTTTTAAAAAAAAATTTTAATGTGTGTTTTTTTTTGAGAGGGAGACAGAGACAGAGAGTCAACAGGGAAGGTGAGGAGAGCAAGGGGCACACAGAATCTAAAGCAGGCTCCAGGCTCCAAGCTGTCAGCAGAGAGCCCGATGTGGGGCTGGAACTCACAAACTGAGATCATGACCTGAGCCAAAGTCAGATGCTTAAACGACTGAGCAACTCAGGTGCCCCAACAGTCTGTAATTTTTAACTTTCATTCAGAACCAAGTGTTTAATTTCCTAATGTTTAAGATTTTTTTTGGTCCCTTTGCTACTTTCTCACATTACCGTTTTAGTGTTGCCAGTATATACATTAGCCCTTCTAATAGTAGGAGGGGATTGGCACATTGTGAACTATTTGTTTTTTCTGCTTTCTCAAAGTTTATTTTGAAATTAATATTGTTACTCCTATTTATTTTGTACTTCTTTTGCCTAATATAGCTTTACTGTTGTCTTTACTTTCAATCTTTCTAATTGGAAGATTTCTTTATCTTATACAGATAGCACATAGTTTGAGGCACAATGTTTTTCCAAGGTTAGGGCTATGAAGGCACAGTGCAGTTTATTCTAGGGAGGCTCTAACAGCCAAGTCTCAGGGGAAAAAAAACTAAAACAGTGGGCAGCACTGTTGCCAATTTGCCCTTCTTTCCACCACCTTGCCCACTTCAGGTCCAAAATTCTGTTCTACCTCATTCTCTATCTAAGTAAACTTAAAAAAAAACCTTTTCCTCAAGAATTGAGGTGTTTAGGTGGGATAACTTCCTGTTTTTCAGTGATGAAGAATGTTATGTATGGAATGCTTCTGTCTGCCCCAAATTAGTATTTTTAAATCTTAACCTCCAATGTGACAGTATTAGGAGGCACAGCCTTTGGAAAGTGATTAGGTTGGGGGGCATGAAAGGGATTGGTGCCTTATTTAAAAAAAGAGAGAGCTCTCTTTGCTTTTTCCACCATGTGAGGAGGATACAGTGAGAGGAGAGCCTCACCAGACACTGAATCAGCCAGAACCTAGAACTTATACTTTCCAACCTTCAGAAGTGTGAGAAATATGTTTCTGTTATTTATAAGCTACCCAGTCTACGGTACTTTGTTAGAGCAGCGTGAACTGAACAGGAAGGATTTTTCTTTTTAAGTTCTTCATCAATGAAGATGAAGGTAGAGGGAAAGAGGGTTTTAACCACCTGTCTCTACACTTTTGGAGTGGGCCTGGCCAACTTGGTCTCTGTGACAGTGGGAGTCCCTTGTGGAGGATGACCAGTGTCTCCTTGTTAAAAGTACACATCCTGTCCACTACTTTCAAGATCAAGAGACATATCTGACTCGCCTAACACA